CGCATGTGTGTGTGCGCGCGCCGAGTCCCAAAGCCACGCTGGAACCAACTTTCATTTCACATCAAGCAGGATGGAGCGGCCTGTGGAGCTCCATCTAACAAAGCTCTCCACAACGGCCTGAGGATATCACCAGGAAAGCCTGGCTGCGTACCGTTCGCCTAACACCAATGGCTCAATCGGTGATGCGTTCGTTGTTGATTCTACAGTCTGAAGCCAACTTGAAATGAAGCTGTCGAACCTGTCTCTCCTCTCCTCTCTTGCACGACGTACACGAATGTACTAAACCACCCCTTGGCGTATTGAAGTGTGTTATGGGTCTGCAGGAATCTGAGTTGTCTCACCGTGACCTCAGTTCCATAAACCTCAGTTGTGCAACCTCAGCATCGTGACCTCTGAGATACGAAGGTGCTTTTGTGAATGTTTCACCCACAAGATCAACAAGGTCGGGTTGCCTCCGTGTCCACATATTTATACTGACTTCTCGTTCGTCATGTAGTTGTTTGCCTTCTCGATTGACATTGCGTGAAGGTTCCTTTTGAACCGCTCATTGTGTCATGCAGTCGTTTGCTTCCTTGACTGACGTTTCTTGCGCATTTTTGCGAAGCGTTCCGTCTGTCATGCAGTCGTTTGCCTTCTCGATCGGCCTTGAACCTTATAGTCGTGATACTATGCCCAGACGCGATCAACGAACGTTCTCGATCACGGCAGCGACATAGGAGGCGACGACAGTCACCTATCTCGCTCTTCCGTTGCCACGACAACCGATGCAGACGCACCCGATGTCCTTGAGTTCTCGGACTTTCACGAACATCTTCATGCGAAAATTCTCAAATCGCAGGCTTCAGGGATTTGCAGGAGGCCGGAAACCATCGCCAACACACCCTACACGCAGCAAATCGGCATAGGAGGGCTTAGTCCAAGTGATTCATCGGGGCCTTGCCAGTTAGTTGTTGCGGCCAACAAGTCATGGGCGGTTTGTGACGCGGGAAGGTTTCCGCTCCAAGGCTGAGGCGTTACTCTGGGGAACCGCGTCCAAATCTAGCAGATCGATCAACATCATCCAGCTGGCGACCTCATTTGGGCTATGATCTTCTAGACTTCTCGCAGCGCATCAAGGTTCATGAGGCTCTGTCTGCGAAACTGGTCGAAGCACTGTCCCTCATCCACCAGGAGTATCAACCAGCACAATCCGAAGGTGATCTTCTTGCTCAAGTCCAAGAACTTCAACGCAGCAACATGCTGCTGCAAGCGCGCAATGCAGCTCAGTCCAACTCCGACAGCGCCCAACCAACCTTGGAATCGAATCCCGCCACGCCAGGCAATCCGGTGAATCCCACGATGACAACACCGTCTGCTCCTTCCTCTTCTACGTTACCCATGGTCAGTGCAGCGGCGAAGGATCGCCCAAGCCTACCACGCCGACGATTGTCAGCTGACCTGGAGGGTGTTTTTTAAGGCTTTGCGCTCGGGGTGCTCCCGCATGATGTAGCAGAGGGGCTAGGCTTTGCTGACCTGGAGTTGCGATCCAAATGCAGCTTTTCAACCTTGTGCCAGGCTGAGGCCTTGGAGGGTGCTTTCTAGACCTTGCGGACAGGCTCACAGCGGGCGCCTGACCTCGCAACACAGCGCGGCGACGACACGAACCCCGGCTGCGCGCTGGAGCAGGGGATGCCAGCTTGGCTGATACAGTCGTGCCAGGCAGATACAATCGCCACCGAAACCAGAGAGACTCAAGAAAAGTTATACAATGATGCAAATCAGCCATTAAATATGACATTCCAGACCTGGACAAGTGAACAACTGCAGCAATTGGTCACGCTCAAGAAGGACACCAAATTCCGACACTCATACAAAGTCTTGGCCAACCGCGTTGGCGTCCTGGAGGCTGTCCTTAGAACCGCATGGCAGGTGTACCAGCAGCTGACCACTTTTTCAAGAGCTGAGTCGGTGCGAGTGCCGCAAAAGATTCTTGTCATTCATGCGTTCGTTTGGACAGTCCTTGACATTTCACATTTGCCACTTTGCGTCTTTATTCATGTCATGTCTACCACGACTGCGTAGCCGTAATTTGTCAGCTTTTCGCACTAAACAACGGAGATACGTGGTGCCCTGATCCAGCGCATCCTGAACAAGAGTGGATCAAAATCTTCTTTCCTGGGCAATGGAACACGCAACGCCGTCAACAAAGGCACCAAGTGACGATTCATGGCGGGAATGGAGAATTTCACCACTTTGTGATCCTGGCGTTCCAGCTGAACAGCGTCTATGGCAATTTTGTGACTGGCACACGAAAGGGTATCAACGAGTTCTGCAGTTACGCCACCACCGTCGCCTTGCTTGTTAAAAACCGGAAGAGCCTCCAGCCATTGATGTCACTGTGGACAGATAATGAAGCGGCCATGGACCGTTCGTGACGAAAGCATGAGGAAAATTGGAATAGGACTTGATGATTTGTGCGTCTCTTGTCACCGGTCATTGTGCTGTGGTTTCTTTGCTTGACCTTGCTTGACCTTGAGTTGCATCATGTTGCCGTCCGAATTTTTAGACAGAGTGCTGAAATAGTCACATTGGGTTAGGTCACGGCAATTGCAACATGGCAACACCGTGGTTGGAGCGCAAACCCGAAATTCAGCCTGAACGACAGTGGATTAAGATCTACTGGCCTGGCGAACGGATCAACCCTCATCCTCCGAACATCAACACCTACCAGGCGTGGAAGAAAGCCTGGCAGCCTCCGAATTATCCCGACGACGACAACAACATGGAGAACCAGCCGACCACTTGGATCTGGGACTGGACCAGTCGGGGGCCGCAACTTATGATGAGCCGGGAAGCCTCGTGCTCCACCACTACTTGCATGATCCTCAATGTCCTCGCGATCTATCACCTGCCACCGAGGCAACTGGATTCCCAACATGATCTCATGCACACGCACTTGGACTCTACACCTGTGACCTCGAGTACTTGCTCTACCGCTACTTCCGTGTTGGAACGTCGTAATCAATGATTCGCAGTAGACAGCAGATCTTCCGACGCCAAGAAAAAAGCCCCTGCACGGGCATGTGTGTGCTCGTCCCAGAGCCACCCTGGGACCACATTTCATATCACATCAAGCAGGGATGGAGCAGGCCTGTGGGGCTCCATCTAACAAAGCTCTCCACAGCGGCCTGAGGAGATTAGCAGGGACGCTTGGTGACGTACCTGCAGCCACTTTGTGTTATGCGTTCCGCTGTTGCTTTATAAACACCAATGGCTCAATCAGTGATGCGTTCATTGTTGATTCTACAGTCTGAAGCCAACTCGAAATGAAGCAGTTGATGTCTCTCCTCTCCTCTCTTGCATGACGTACACGAATGTACTAAACCGCCCCTTGGGGTATTGAAATGTGTCCGTGTGCGCATGTATGCGCGTGTGTGTGCGCGTGGGCGTGGGCGTGTGCGTGCGTGCGTGCGTGCGTGCGTGCGTGCGTGTGTGCGCGCATGCGAGTGTGCATGTGCATGCGCGTGTGCGTGTGTGCCTTCGTGTGCGCGCGCGTGCGTGTGCATGTGTGTGCAAGTTTATGCGTGCGTGCGTGCGTTCGTGCGTGCGTGTGTGTGTGTGGGTGTGTATGTTTGTGTGTGTGGGCGGGTGTGCGTGTATGTGGAGTGTGCGTGTGTGTGTGTGTGTGTGTGTGTGTGTGTCTGCGCGCGTGCCTGCCTGCCTGCCTGCCTGCCTGCCTGCCTGCCTGCCTGCGTGCCTGCGTGCCTTTGTGTGTATATTTGTGTGTGCATTTGTGTGTGTGTGTGTGTATTTGTGTGTGTGTGTTTGTGTGTGTGTATCTGTGTGTGTGTGCATTTGTGTGTGTGTGTATTTGTGTGTATATTTGTGTGTGCATTTGTGTGTGTATTTGTGTGTGTGTTTGTGTGTGTGCATTTGTGTTCGCATGTGTGTGCGCATTTCTGTGCACATTTGTGTGTGCATTTGTGTGTGTACTTGTGTGTGTATTTGTGTGTGTGCATTTGTGTGTGTATGTGTGTGTGTGTTTGTGTGTGTATTTGTGTGTGTATTTGTGTGTGTGTGTATTTGTGTGCATTTGTGTGTGTATTTGTGTGTGCATTTGTCTGTGTATTTGTGTGTGTATATGTGTGCTTTTGTGTGTGCATTTGTGTGTGCATTTGTGTGTGTGTGTTTTTGTGTATGTGTGTGTTTGTGCTTGTGCTTGTGCTTGCGCCAGTGCTTATGCGGGTGCTTGCGCGCTTGTGCTCGTGTTTGCGCTTGTGCTTGTGCTCACGCTTGCACTTGCTCTGCGCCTGCGCTTGCGCTTGCGGTTGCTCTGCACTTGCGCTTGCGCTTGTTCTTGCGCGTGCGCTTGTGCTTGCGCTTGTGCTTGTGCTTGTGCTTGTGCGTGCGCCTGCTGTTACGCTTGCGCTTGCGCTTGCGCTTGTGCTTGTGCTTTTGCTTTTGCTTGCGCGTGTGCGTGCGCTTGTGCGTGCGCGATTGCGTGCATGTGGGTATGTGTGTGTGTGCGTGTGTGTTTGTTTGTTTGCTTGCTTGATTGCTCGTTGTGTGTTTGTGTTTTTGAGTTTGTTTGTGTTTTTCTCAAATTTTGACTTGTTTTAGCTCGCTTGAAAGTTCTTCCGTTTTTTGGGGGAGTCTGACTTGAGCAGATCAGGTCCTTCATGAGCATGTGCCGTCGTCGCTCCTCGCCGGTCTGTTTTTTCTAGCTGCGACTGGCACCCTGGCCGCCGTATCTTGGTGGAGCTGGCGCCTGTGAGTGCCGTTCCTGCTTAGTTCGTTTCTGGACTCCTCAATGGAGTTCAGGATTCGAAAATGATCGCACCTGTCAAACAGGATGCCAGAGAACCAGACCTCAGACACTGGCGAATCAGAGCGACAGCATTGGGTTTGAAATGCCCAGTTTGGTCCAACAAAAGGCCCAAGACCTTCCTGGATATGGGTGGATAGATGCCCACCCCGGCCAGGCTCAAAAGTACAATAAATCATAAGAACAAACGTGTGAGGCGAGCTGCGCTGGGTATGCTGGGGCCCTGCTGGGGCAACAAGCGCACCCCGGGTCTTAGTTCAAATGGTGGCAAATATTCCAGCGGAGTGAAGAGAAGTCAAAGATGGGTCCAAGGGAGGAGCGTGGCTAAAGGCAAGGTCATTCCCGCAGCTGGCGCTGACCTTTGAGCACGACTTATTCAAAGTCTATAGTTAGAAAGGGTGGGACTTTGTCACCATCCAACCCTGGAAAAGAGATAGCACCCTCCGACGATTTGCATAGAGATTTGCTAGCTGAAGATAGGGCCTCCTGCGTCCTCCTGCATGATTCACAGTTTGCCAACTGAAACTGTGTGGCCAAGGGCAAGATCCACGGGCTTGTATTAACATGAAGCGGCCGTTTTTGCCAATACTGCGCGTTGACCCGACTGACGGCTGGTGCGTCCGGCGTGGTTTCAATGTTATGACTTCAAAACGTCGGATGGTGTTGGACACTATGCGTGAACAGCAACCAGATGTTGTTTTCTTGCACCTGTGCGCGGACCGTGGTCCATCCAGCAGAACATCAAACCAAAAGATCGTTGCAGAACGAGCCAGACTCAAGTCCATCAGGCTCGTGACACAAACGCCAAAAGCCAAAAACACGTATGTCCTTCAACTGAGACGCACGCAACCCGAGTGCTATCCGATCCGTCTCCCACAGGCTCGCTGAGCCACGACTCAGTCGCGAAGCGGAAGGATCCTCCGCGGCACGCAGTCGAAGTCCACGATCCGAATCGCCGACGAAGTGTCTGCCACTACAAGCGCAACGCCGTAAAACCCTTCAGGACATTCACAGAACATGGGGAGGTTCTAGAGTAGAGGCGTGAAAATCCTGGCCGACGTAGTGACCACAGTTGCAAGCTGCAAGCTAGACTCCACATCCTCAATTATCATGGAGGCGCTCATGGAAGCGCGCAATGAAAAGCATGGTTCTGTCAACATCTCCGTCGAGTTCGCAGCATCACTGTTTTGGAATCATATTATTTTCTGCAAAATGCAAATGACATACTTCACGAGCATCCATTCCATTACTCCACTTTGAGGCTTTCTGAGCCGAGTGGTTAAAGGCAGTCATACAGGGATTAAATCCGTAACTCCATGGGTGGAAAGAAATGTGTGTCCGGCTTGTTCTCGTTTTGTTTGTGCTTGATCCACTCATGAGCAATTGCCTGATGAAAATACTGAGGAAAAGTCTTTCCAGCTTGCTGTATTGCGGCATGGCTATATTGTTGATTCAGGTAGGACATCCTCTTCTTGAATCGGATTGGGTCCGTGGAGACCTTTTGAGGGCATATCCAGTCTCAGGGGGTCCCCTTCACAGGGCGGTGTGAAACTTGCTTGCGTCACCGCCCCACAGCAACTCTTGATAGCGCCGATTTCGTCTCATGGAGACCTAGGCGTGCAGGGTCATATCCTGACGGTTGACATTGCGCCACAGGGGTACGCACCTTGGGCCGCGAACCTAGAGCGCTCGCAGCCTGCCCAAAGGAAGAAGCGCTTCATGTCTCAGCATTTGCCTTGGGATCTGTATCGAGGCGCATGCAGACTGTGCAGAGCGACGAGGAGACTCGAGGTTGCCCGGGCCGCTGGAATGTAGCAACGTTTTTGCAAAGTCAAGAACATGTGCCGTTCAAACATGGAGGCTGGAGATGCCCCTGTACAACGATGTTGGTTGACCAATCCAAGGGTGTTGCCTTTCAATTTGGTTGGGCGCGGATGGTTGAATCATGTAGCAGAGGAATTTGCGATTCGTCAAGTTCCTTGTAAGACTTAAGCGGATCTCCAGATGCTTCGAGGTGGCACAAGCACCTGGCGCTGCCCTCAGCCCTCATGCGGAACGAGCTGAGTGACGTGCGAGCCCTGTGAAGGCCACCGGTGCTCTGCGTCCTGTGCTGCGCAGCCAACGATGGGGATGTCCTTGCAGGTGCGCTTCGCTAGGGTCACCTGAGTCATCTCTTGTCCAGGCATGGGGATCTTCAAATCCTTACCTTGGGTTAAGCAAGGAATCCTCTTTGGAATGTTGGACCCTCTTTACACCCCCCCTCGCTAGGAGTGGAACCATACTTTAGTATGGCCAAGGCTGACTCTCAGATTCCCAGTACTTACTTTAGTATAGCCAGTTCTAACTTAGTATTGCCAAAGCCCCCTCTCAGATTCCCAGTCTACTTTAATATTGCCAAGGACCGTTTTTAAGCAACCCCCAGAAAGTGTAGACACTATATAAAGAGGCTAAAACAAAGAGGATCAGGGCCCCTTGTGGGCAACCCCCTTTGTGTGACTTGTAAAGAAATTATCTCAAATTTGATGGTTTGGGGGCCACTGGCAAAGTGAACTTCCTAGATCCAAGGCCTTTACTCTTTGAGCTGGGAAGAGCTTGGTTAGGTGAACCACCCTAAAAGTAAAAGGCTAAGGCTTGAGTCTAGTAAGTTCAGAAAATTAAAAGGCCGTTGGACACTAAACAGGACCCCAAAACAGGACTATGGAGGATCAGGGCTGCTTGTGGGCAACCCCCTTTGTGTGACTGGAAGTTTCTTGAATTTGATGGTTTGGGGACCACTTCAAACAAGAGGAGCCCGGGAACCCAAAAGCAAACCAGCCTCACTCCCCATGGCATGTGGATCCCGTTGTTTTCCGGCTCAAGGGTCCGAAGGCAAACCAAGATTTAAGTTGTTCACAGTTGGGAAATCAACCCGAAAACAGATGAAGAAGGGGAGCAACCGCGACTCAAGCCGGATTGGCAGCCAGCAGCCTGTGCTGACCAAGCACAGAGAAAAAGGCAAAGGCACGGGTGAAACATGACAGGCCCCGCACTACATGGAAGGCACGAAGTCATCTGATTCATCATGAAGAGCGAATCGCAGAAATCCGAAAATGGATCCGCACAAACTACCACTCCCAAATTGGAAGCAAGGCATAAGCTCGCTCTACACCCATCTGAGCTCGTGTTTGTGGCCCAGACGTTCAGACTGAAACTCCAACATCTTGGAGGCAAGCAAAGAAGAACCAGTGACCGTTTCCTGTGAGCCATTTTCGCAGCGCGCCATCCATTTGGTCTGCCTGCTTCCAGAGTGGATCGATCAAGAAAGTCGAAACACTTGTTGTGCGCCAGCACCGTGTTCCCTAAAAGTGGCTAAAGTCCGGGAGCTGGGGAAGAGAGCTACCGCTCAAGATTGTGCTGGCTGATCCGTTTTTCGAGAAAAAACAGGGACTCTAGAACCACCAAATCTCCCCTTAACTCAGATTCCCAGTCTGCGCCTCACCCTCGCTCGCGCCCAGTTTCCGCATATCACGAGCGTCCCCTGCGCCAGTCTCGCTCGCGGGCAGTTTTCGCATGTCACATGCTTCCAGGTTGCTTCCAAATAAGTAGGGCGAACTCCAAGTAGCCTCTACAGCTTCTCAAGAGAGGGTTCGTCCTAGAAACACATTGGCACCATTTGTCCGGGTCACGTGTGCGGCAAAAAGGACAATTTTGGCGCACCTGGAACGCCGGGCTGTTACTTGCTTCGTAAGCTTGCTTGGATTCGTTAGTTTCTCCACCTGTTTTCCCATTCGCAACCAATTGCAACTGGTGACTTTGTGGAAAGGGCCACGCACGTTGTCAATTGGATGCGTGTGGATGGCAACTTGGGTGGATTCGCCGCAGGTGTGTGGAGAGGGGGCCGGCGCTGCGCTTTTGCAGGGGGCTCGGTGTGGACAAGCCTCGGTCACTTGGTGGGTCTGACGCCTGTCTGAAACAAGTCTGAGACACAGTGTTACAACACGATCTGCGTAGACCGGGGTCAGCTGTTCGGATGTTCATGCGCCCTTTTGTTTGGGCCGAGTGTGCTCAGCATATTCATGTCAACGTGCTTCCAGGCTGCTTCCAAATAAGTAGGGCGAACCCCAAGAGGCTACAGCTTCTGAAGAGAGGCTTCGTCCCCGAACTGTTACTTGCTTAAGCTTGCTTGGATTCGTAAGTGTCTCCACCTATTTTCCCATTCGCAACCAATTGCAACTGGTGACTTTGTGGAAAGGGCCACGCACGTTGTCAATTGGATGCGTGTGGATGGCAAGTTGGGTGGATTCGCTGCAGGTGTGTGGAGACGGGGCCGGCGCTGCGCTTTTGCGGGGGGCTGGGTCTGACGCCTGTCCGAAACAAGTCTGAGACACAGTGTTACCACGATCTGCGTAGACCGGGGTCAGCTGTTTGATGTTCATGCACCCTGTTGTTCGGGTGCTCAGCATATGCATGTCAACGTGCTTCCAGCTGCTTCCAAAAAAGTAGGGCGAACCCCAAGAGGCTACAGCTTCTAAAGAGAGGGTTCGTCCTAACGCCGGGCTGTTCACATGGACCCGCGCACGTGGCAGTTGCCGCATGTCATGAGCGTCCACCGCGCCAGTCTCGCTCGCCGGCGTGTCACGAGCGTCCACCGCGCCAGTCTCGCTCGCCGGCGTGTCACGAGCGTCCACCGCGCCAGTCTCGCTCGCGGGCGGTTTCCGAATGTCACGAGCGGGCGCTTTCCGCATGTCGACGAGCGTCCACCGCGCCAGTCTCGCTCGCGGGCGGTTTCCGCATGTCACGAGCGTCCACCGCGCCAGTCTCGCTCGCGGGCGGTTTCCGCATGTCACGAGCATCCACCGCGCCAGTCTCGCTCGCGGGCTCCGCTCGCGGGCGGTTTTCCGCATGTCACGAGCGTCCACCACGCCAGTCTCGCTCGCGGGCGGTTTCCGCATGTCACGAGCGTCCACCGCGCCAGTCTCGCTCGCGGGCGGTTTCCGCATGTCACGAGCATCCACCGCGCCAGGGCGGTTTCCGCTCGCGGGCGGGTCGTTTTCCGCATGTCACGAGCGTCCACCACGCCAGTCTCGCTCGCGGGCGGTTTCCGCATGTCACGAGCGTCCACCGCGCCAGTCTCGCTCGCGGGCGGTTTCCGCATGTCACGAGCGTCCACCGCGCCAGTCTCGCTCGCGGGCGGTTTCCGCATCCACGAGCGTCCACCGCGCCAGTCTCGCTCGCGGGCGGTTTCCGCATGTCACGAGCGTCCACCGCGCCAGTCTCGCTCGCGGGCGGTTTCCGCATGTCACGAGCGTCCGCCGCGCCAGTCTCGCTCGCGGGCGGTTTCCGCATGTCACGAGCGTCCACCGCGCCAGTCTCGCTCGCGGGCGGTTTCCGCATGTCACGAGCGTCCACCGCGCCAGTCTCGCTCGGTTTCCGCATGTCACGAGCGTCCACCGCGCCAGTCTCGCTCGCGGGCGGTTTCCGCATGTCACGAGCGTCCACCGCGCCAGTCTCGCTCGCGGGCGGTTTCCGCATGTCACGAGCGTCCACCGCGCCACGAGCGTCCACCGCGCCAGTCTCGCTCGCGGGCGGTTTCCGCATGTCACGAGCGTCCACCGCGCCACCGCGCCAGTCTCGCTCGCGGGCGGTTTCCGCATGTCACGAGCGTCCACACGCGCCAGTCTCGCTCGCGGGCGGGGCATTCAGTCCCTCGCTCCGGGCGGTTTCCGCATGTCACGAGCGTCCACCGCGCCAGTCTCGCTCGCGGGCGGTTTCCGCATGTCACGAGCGTCCACCGCGCCAGTCTCGCTCGCGGGCGGTTTCCGCATGTCACGAGCGTCCACCGCGCCAGTCTCGCTCGCGGGCGGTTTCCGCATGTCACAAGCGTCCACCGCGCCAGTCTCGCTCGCGGGCGGTTTCCGCATGTCACGAGCGTCCACCGCGCCAGTCTCGCTCGCGGGCGGTTTCCGCATGTCACGAGCGTCCACCGCGCCAGTCTCGCTCGCGGGCGGTTTCCGCATGTCACGAGCGTCCACCGCGCCAGTCTCGCTCGCGGGCGGTTTCCGCATGTCACGAGCGTCCACCGCGCCAGTCTCGCTCGCGGGCGGTTTCCGCATGTCACGAGCGTCCACCGCGCCAGTCTCGCTCGCGGGCGGTTTCCGCATGTCACGAGCGTCCACCGCGCCAGTCTCGCTCGCGGGCGGTTTCCGCATGTCACGAGCGTCCACCGCGCCAGTCGCGGGCGGTTTCCGCATGGAGCGTCGCGCAGTCGCCAGTCTCGCTCGCCGCGGTTTCTGTCAGGAGCGTCCACCGCGCCAGTCTCGCTCGCGGGCGGTTTCCGCATGTCACGAGCGTCCACCGCGCCAGTCTCGCTCGCGGGCGGTTTCCGCATGTCACGAGCGTCCACCGCGCCAGTCTCGCTCGCGGGCGGTTTCCGCATGTCACGAGCGTCCACCGCGCCAGTCTCGCTCGCGGGCGGTTTCTCGCGTCGCGAGCGGTTTCCGCATGTCACGAGCGTCCACCGCGCCAGTCTCGCTCGCGGGCGGTTTCCGCATGTCACGAGCGTCCACCGCGCCAGTCTCGCTCGCGGGCGGTTTCCAGCCAGCGCGCCCAGTCTGCACCACACCGCCGTCCCCCCCAGCCAGCCCCACACCGCCGTCCCCCCAGCCAGCCTCGTACGCCCGGTCTGCACCCCCAGCCGGCATCGCACGCCCGGTCTGCAGCACAACGAAAAGGAAATCCCTTCTTATCTCCGTCGTCACAGCTTGTGTCGCTCCCGGGCACCTTAAGAGAAAACTTTAAAGCAGAACCCAAGCATCAGAGATGCTTTTGGGAAAAATCCTAACGGTTGCCCGGATTTGTTGGATCTTTTTTTGCTCAACTTCTTTGCCAAGATTGTTAACTTTCAGTATTAGGGTTGCTTATTGAGGGGGGGTTGCGTTTAAGGTCCTGCCAAAAGCGGTTCAGATCATTTCTGTTGAAATCATGGGATGAAATGGGGAAGGGAAAGCCGTAAGTACACCCCCCCCCCCAGGTGCTCAAGTGCAGACCAAATTCCTTAAATACAGGGGGGGAGGGTTGTATTTAAGGCTGGCCGCGTGTTTTGAGGCACACACAAAATTATTTGTTTAGCAAACCATACCGCAAAATTAGTGATTTTAAGGTAT